TAGAACTGAAATTGAGAAAATTGACATCAATGATGTCTAATTGAAACAAGGCCGAACTATGTTTCTCGAATGATTAAAATTGATTTTCGTTAAAGTACGTAACATAATCGCGAATGTATTTTCCTATCAATCTAATAAAATACGAACGTTTTACGTGTCTTAAAATAACACTCTTTCATTTGTTTCTTCTTCTTCTTCAACGATATTTTCATATAAAAAAAATTCTTCTTATAATGGAGCGTATCTCTGATTTTACAGGAACGTTTAAACAAACAGAAAGATTTGTTAAATAATTCTACATCAAGATAAATCAATGTTCCGGGTGGATGGGAAAGACCATGAAAGAATGCCGTATCTGGAGGACAGTTCTGTTTCTTCTCAATATTTCAAGTTTGGCAATAGACGCTAACATAATTGGAGAACATACCTTAACGGACGATGAGAGAAGAAAATCCTTCGAAACGGAGCGTTCTGTGTATTCTTGGACTGGACCGAACGCCTTGGCAAGATCTGCTCTGGTGGAACGTCAAGAGAGATTGCAGTATAACTGCGAGGAGATCTTGAGAGATAGGAATCCTCGGAACGACGATTTGAATCTGGAGTCCTTCAGAAATATTCTTGTCGACGAACAACATGAACTTTTGTATTGTTACGTTCCAAAGGTACGTAAAACTGTGTTAAACTGTGTTTTTAAATTGACTGCGGATTTTTATACAAATTCATGCTACAAATATAATTTATAGTATTATACTTTCGACACTTTATATTAAAATCCGCAGTCTATTAATAATAATAATAATAATAATCTTTTCTTACTTCTAACTACTGATGTAACTTCTCGAGACACTTATCACTTCTAACTGATGTTCGCAGAACGTCTCAAGGAAGCAAATGCGCATTACAAATGCATGTAGTGCGCATTATATAAAGTTTCTAATGAATAAACATTTTGAAATGTTAATTTTTTAACTTTTTTTTTTATTTTTTTTCTTTTGTTAATCGTCGACTTAATCTAACAGGTTGCCTGCACAAACTGGAAACGAGTTCTGATGGTCGCTACCGGGAAATGGCCAGGTAATGATCCTATGGAAATACCGGCTGATCAGGCGCATTCGCCAGGTACCTTTCAGAGGCTCAGTAACTATACTTTGTCTGAAATAGAACGAATGCTGGCGACTTACGACAAGCTGATCGTCGTCAGACACCCTTTGGAAAGGTTATTGTCCGCCTACAGAAACAAGTTGGAGGCGAAACATGAGAAGAGTTCGAGGTACTTTCAAACTCGTTTTGGAAAGAAGATTATCAGGGTATCGTCCGATTTTTATGTTTCTCCTTCTTTTTTGTTTTTTGTTCTTGCCTGAGAAAGATATCAAGGGAATTACAGTGAGATCATTCTTCCTTGCAGAGATATAGACAAAACGCCACTGCAGAGTCGCTGAAAAACGGGGATGACGTGACATTTAGAGAATTTGTGCAGTTTGTCACAGATGATTCGTCAAATGAAACACGAAACGAGCATTGGAAGCCAATTTACGAGTTGTGTGAACCGTGTTTGGTCAACTATAATCTCGTCAGCAAATACGAAAGCTTAGTTGAAGATGCCACGGAAGTTTTAGAACGGATGGGCGTCGAGTCCGTCAGGTATAGTCACAGTTATTTTTTTATTTTGAATTCATAATGCGAATAAGTGAATTTTTTGTATGAGTATCTCTTGCACAAGTTGCGCATGTAATAATTTTTTACACAAATGATTATCTTATGCAAGTATTTCAATCATATTTAATAATATTTATCTTTATCTATTTATCTTTATCTATTTATTATAATAGATAAGAATTAATGTACGTTCATGATTACATCTATTTATATCTATGTATGTTTTATAGATATGACACGATTGAGTAATGTTTGATTACTTAAATTAAAGTTTGAAATTAAATTAGAAGATTATATATAAAGAAATTATGCGTATTAATAAATATACTAAATAAATATACTAAATGGAAATTCATTTATGAACATATTTACATGTATTGTACATCTTTAAACATTTATTTATACAACTTTATATCTAGCTATTAGTACATATATATTTAATGAGACATATTTATTGTTTAGGGGTACTCAAAATTATTCATATCTTGTTTCTAAATAAACGTTCTTACTTAATTTATTTATTATTTACTTAAGTAGTTATTTTCTTACTTAATTTATTTACTTAAGTTATTTTCTATTTCGTTGCTACATGCGAACAAAATTCTTGAAATTTTGATTAATTAGAATTAATTGTTTTTACAGTTTCCCGACGAAACCAGCGAACAGCGAGCCAACCGCGAAGAAACTAGATAAGTACTATTCCACGTTGACGTACAAACAGCTTCGAAAGTTGGCAGATTTGTACAAATTAGACCTAAGACTGTTCGATTACTCGTTGGAGGATGTGCTAGGATTTTCGTTGGCGTGATTGAATTTTTTTCGGCAATTTCCATGAAGAATACGCTTCAAAACGTGAATGGAAACGCGCTAAATAGACTTAAGACTATTTCCTTATTTCCATGTGTTCTGCTCTCAATACGTGAGTAGCAGTGTAGTTATTAATTAATCTGCTGAGTCACAGAGAGAGAGAGCAGTGCTTAACTCACAGAGAGCAGAGCATCAAACTGGTTGTTTCGAGAATCTTTCAGGACAAGCGCTAGTCGAGCAGAGAGATATTTTTCTCCTTTCTCGTTGTCTTTATTTTTAAAACGCGCGTGAATACCCGTGCCAAGAATTTAAGGATATAAAAACCAGTTGATTGGTTGTTTGTGCCAATGAAACATCTACTTGATAACTTTCTGCGAGAATGTTATCTTTGTCGAGTTTATAGATCTTATAGATATCCAGGTTTTATTTACGTGAATGTTTTATGTGGACGTTCAATAGACAAAGACTTTATGGGTTGTGCCTTGAGTAGAATTGTTATTCTAACAGAATAACCGCCATATGTATGTACCTACGCTAGTAATAATGGTACACATGATTTACATTCCTATAATTAACTCATTTTATATTGTGGTAAGTTACCAGTCGAACCTCTTTTTACAGCAAACATAAAACAAAGAGATATTTTATAAATATTTATATATATATAGTCATGCATGATAATCTGTTGCTCGGTGGTTTGATGAAAAAGTCGAGGAAATTAATAAATTAAGTGTAATTATAATAGTTTTATAGAAACGCTCCCATGCTTTTGGCAAATGTTACATAAGTGGATGTTCAAAGTATAAATCGTATCTGTTCATGCGTATTGTCTATTATAAGATTAATGTTTACTTTTCAAGTTAAAATTAACCGAAGGTCTGGAAATGATAAACGATGTTAGCATACATTAGCTAAAGAGTAACTCTATGAAGAGTAGCTCTATGCAGCTCGATCAAATATTAAAACCACGCGAACTGATCAAAATAGCTCTCTAGCGCCATCAATCAAACTGAAGAACTATCCGCTCACTTGTTAAAAATTACTGGGAAAAAATCGAAAATTGAAAATTATTTTTATCGTTTTTGTTACCTTCTGTTTCGCTAGAAAATTGGTGGAAAAAATTCCTTGGAAAAACACCTGTTGAAACGGAAAACAAGAGACCGCCACGTTCAAGC